AACCTCTCGTCGCGTAACTCCAAGCTCAAGCACCTCTCTACGATTCCGACTCTTAGGTACCCATCTTCTTCTCTCTGCTGGGTTTTTCCTGGGTTTCTTTCTTCTACTTGTGTGAGAAACCCACTAGATTCGCTAGTCTTTTTCTCTAGGTTTTCTTTTCTAGTATCATGGTCCAATTTTGGGTTTCTTTTTCCTTTTATAAAAATGTCTCCTTTTTTGGTCTTCGGTCATTTCGTTCACTTTCTGATTTTCGATTACGCTTGCAGAACTCCTTGATTTGTTCAATCGGTTTGGTATTTTCTTGTCTACGGTATGTCCCTTGCATATATATTCTCTCGCCCTAGTTTCGGATTTGTCCTGGAATTCCAATTACAACAAAAAGTTGCCTTTTTGGTGTGATTCTGATTGTTTCGCATCTATTTGTTTATGCAACTGGAACTTGGTTCAAAAAAGTTTACTCTTTTCATCAAGGGTTTACTTGACAAGTTTTAAGCAGGTTACTAGGTTAAGGTAATAGCTCAGATTGGCCAGTGCTGTTTATCTTTCAGGGAATTTGCTCTCTAATTGTAGATTGACTTTTTGGTTGTTTCGTGCTTTGGTATGTATGATGGGGCTGGAAACTTTGATTGTCTTCTTTTATTGCTCTTATTTCTTGTTTTACTTGTGTTTGTCTTGGGAGTATCATAAGCTTGTTCCTTTTGTTTGTTAGAGACTCCTCTGTGTTCATTGCCTTGGATTTATGTATTCTCTTGGTCTTTGCTTGGGATTTACTTTCTTTTTTTTGAAGTAGACGGAGGATAGAGTTTTGAGATTTGAGAGAATGATCATGTCTAGCTAATAGAAACTATCCTGCAATGCACAATTTCATTCTTTCTCTTTCTCTTTCTTGATGTAATTTGACAATAAAAAGGACTGTTTTTCTCTCATATTCAGCATGAATACAATGATACTCTGACACCTTTGCATTACATGTAGTTTATCGAAACAAATGAGTCGCTATTTCTTAAATATCTCGTCTAGTTATTTCCGACTGGATCTTGCCAGGGGTTGGTGCATTGATGCCGAGAATATAGTCTCACTGGAACTCTTTGTATCCTGAAAAGAAATATTAGATTTTCCTATCGTTTTTTTTTTGTAGTGCTTGTTCACTAGTTCTAGTTCACTTGATAATCTTTAAAGAATTTTATGTTTTATTGAAGTGGTTTTGTGTTTGTTAGTAGTTTTTGTTAGAGTTAAGGATCATACATAGGAATTAAACCCAGGGCCTTCTTTATTGAAATCAAAATGCAGAACACGGTTCCCTCGATATAACTAAACCCTCACCAAGCCTATTAGGGAGGATGGATCTCGCCAATGGGTCCTCCATCCTAATTATAAGAATCTCAGAAAGCACTTAGTAGAAGAATTCCTAGTTAGAATAGTAATTATAGCCTTGATTACATATTATCACCCTTATGATCATACCTCACGGCTTTGAATTTCTGTCACTTTTATGTTATTTCTTGGTCTAATTTTTGTAAGATAGTATATCTGCAGGTTGTAAATCTAACTCTGTAATTTGTTTTTGGCATGTAAGCTTGGAAAATGGGTGCATCAACATCTAGAATAGATGAAGATAAAGCCTTACAGTTATGTCGAGAAAGAAAAAAATTCGTTCAACAAGCACTTGATGGAAGGTGTTTGTTAGCCGCTGCTCACGTTTCATACGTCCAGTCTCTTAAGAGTACTGGAACTGCCCTCAGGAAATTTGCTGAGACTGAAGTTCCAGTTGAATCTTCTTTGTACACATCCACTA